TTTTGTGAATAAATATAAAATATGTATACTGTGGAATACTTTATTTTCATTGGAATTAATTTTGGCTGAAAAGGCTTTTTGGGCGTTTTGTATGGAATTTATTTTCACTGATTTTGGATGAGTATTATTTGAAAAATAGGAAAAAAAGTATATTCGCTAGATTTTATTTTCACGGAATCATCCCTTCAGCGAAAATAAATTCCAAACGAAAATAAAGTATTCTACAGTATACAATTGAGCAAACCATAATTTGAGTTGTGTGTGAATCTACAAATGAATAAATTAACATTTTTTTTTGTCAGTTTTATTTATTATAAATTATACAAATGAGACAACTGAAAAAACAAGTTGGGTATTCTTGCAACAAAATCAGATTTTTCCCAGCATTCAACTTGAACTATAACTATTTATACTGCAACATGCCAATTTCAACCTGAACAGTCAACAATGTTCAGTAATATAGAGTCTCAGACACTCGCAGCCATTTTTATCATCTGCAGTTATTTTAATAGCTCGAAACATAAAATCCGCAACTGCTTAAATGATAAATCAGCCTAATCTGGTTGCCATGGCAAAGACCAGTGTTATTATCAACATTCACAACTATACTAACAAGTGGATTTCCGAGAAAAGAAAATGACTGGTCTAATTGTGAAAACCATCAAAATATTACAAGCGCTGTAGTATGTAATCTCTGAAAACTAAATTCTCGTCAGGAGAAAACAAAATTGTGCAATGCCCGATTGTTGGAGACAGGATAAGTAAGCTTAATTGCTATCAGAAGATTTGGACCTTGAAGATAATGTAATTTTGCTGAAAATTCACCAGTCACGGGGATTTAGTAGTTTTGTCAATTGCAAAAATTGAAAATGTAAGCTTTCCTCTTAAGCAGCAGATTCGAGACTCATTGTGATGGAACACGTGCATCAATGATGATTCAGCCAACATACGGTATTAAAGTGCCTGTGAAATGGCTTCTATTTTCACGCCTAAAATTATCAATTGATACATAAATATTATTAATTTTTATGTTTCTAAGCATGAATTATTATTTTTTAAGTGAAAAAATGTGTTTTAAACTCAGTCTACCGCAACTTTATGTTTGTGTATTTTAAAACGAGGCTCCTCATTAGCTTCTCATTTGCATACAGAAATTCCCCTTGTGACGTCAGAAGGGGAAGTCGCATGGCAGCTTGCATTGCCGATACGTGTAAATAAGCAAATTTCTTGTGCAGTTTTCTCGTCTTTGACTATATTGTCACTTATGTACTTGTTCGTCGAGGAAGATGGACCATAATGAACACATAGTATC